GTTGAATTTGGGAGAGTCAGATCGGAGGTGTCCGAGAAAATCCACCCTCCATCCCACCCAATTCCCCCCCCGGGCACGATCCCAACCCCCCCGGAGCAGCCCCGACCCCCCCAGCGGCTCCCCCAACGTCCCCCACCACCCAAAAAAACCCCCTTTTTGGATTTATTTTAGGTTTCTTTCCATTTCTGGTGTCCTGGCCCCGGATCCAACAGAAAACGAGGCACTGGGGAGACAACGTGGAATTCCCACGGGGAAAGCCCCGGCTGGAGCTTGTGGGATCCGCGGAAATCCCATGGGAAGCCCGGGTGGGATCCACGCAGAAATCCCATGGAAAACCCGGGTGGGATCCACGCAAAAATCCCACGGGAAGCCCGGGTGGGATCGGAGGGAAGGAGGAGCGGGGTCGACCCTCATCCCATCCGGAACTCCCGGAGCCTGTGGGATCCACGTGGAAATCCCATGGAAAGCCCGGGTGGGATCCATGCAGAAATCCCATGGAAAACCCGGGTGGGATCCACGAGGAAATCCCATGGAAAGCCCTGGTGGGATCCGCGTGGAAATCCCATGGGAAGCCCGGGTGGGATCGGAGGGAAGGAGGAGTGGGGTCGACCCTCATCCCACCCGGAGCTCCCGGAGCCTGTGGGATCCACGAGGAAATCCCACGGGAAGCCCGGGTGGGATCCACGTGGAAATCCCATGGGAAGCCCGGGTGGGATCCACGAGGAAATCCCACGGGAAGCGCGGGTGGGATCGGCGGGAGGGAGGAGCGGGGCCGACCCTCACCCCTCCCGGGAGCTCCCGCAGCCCGCGGACACGCGTGAATCCCCCTCCTCCCCCTCCTCTTCCTCCTCCTCCTCCTCCTCCTCCTCCCGCGCAGCGCTCCGCGGGTGCCTCCGCGTTCCGTGCCAGGCAAACCCGTGCCAGGCAAACCCGTGCCAGGCAAACCCGTGCCAGGCAAACCCGCACCTTTCCCGCAAACCCAACCCACGCGGGGAGGCGCGTGGGGATGAGTTTTACGGGAATAACCTCACCTGAGAAGTCCCCCCCCCCCTTCTTTTATCTCGTTCCCAACTTCCCCCCTCCCCACCCACCCCCGCCCGCGGGGAGTTGGCAGCGAGATTCCAGGACCTCTGGAATTGGGATATCGCCATATCCCGGGAACTTTTATCTCTTCCCGAGGGAAGGACCAGCCCTGACAGGTACGAGGGTTGTGTCCCGGGTGGGGATTATGGCGGGGACCCCCGGGTCGTTGTCCTGTTGGAAACCCCCCTGGACCCTCGGGAGCTGAGGTGCAAAAATACGAATATATATAAATATACAAACGCATAAACACACAAACCCGCAGAGGCGCAGATATAAAAACATAAAATCGCACGAAAACACGGACACACAAATATTCGGTTACACAAACGCGAGGGTGTTCAGGTAAACGCATAAACACCCGAATAAACACACGGATACATCCAGATCCACATCCAGGCACCGCCGGCTCTTCTGGCTGCTCCCAATTCCCAAAACTGCATCCCTTGGGATCGGGGCGGCCCCGCCGCAGCCCCCCCGGCCCCCAAGCGTGGCGTGGGACCCACGGAACATCCCAATCCACGGATATTTCCACCTCAGGCCTGCAGCCCCCATACAAAGAAACGTAAAGGGGTGTGAAACCCACCGTCCACCTCATAATTACCTCTAATCTGATAAGCGGGAGGTGACATGGAGGGGACAGCGAGGGCGGCGGGGGACCCGCAGCGAGGTCACCTCGAGCGGGAACGGGGAGAATTTATGGTGCCACCCAAACGCTTTTGCGGGCGAACCGCCCGCATCCTGCCCGCCACTCTGGGCACCTTTATAGGGATGTAAATTATCTGGATGCCCGCGTCCCCGCAGAGACATCCCCGCACACACGTTGAACTTTCTCCCCTGCCCAAATATCGCCTGTTTGTGCTCCTGCGGACGGAGATTTGCTGGGAAATGACGTATCCATACATTCGCCTTCGGAGCCCTGTTTCCTCCTGACCGGCGATCGGGGGGCTCCGGCTCCTCTCTAACCGCCCCCCCCAAGAGATCGGGAAGAGTTTATTGCTCTGCTCCGACTTGTGTTTTGTCTCCCAGACCCCCTCCCAGCCCCCGCGGCTGCCTCGGGGGGGATATTCCCGGCCGGCTCCTTCCTCCACCCCACGCTCCCCTCCTCCAGTCTGGCACGGAGCAAAGCTCAGCCTATAGGTAAAATGGCTCTGGCTTTATGTGGAAAGGAAAAAAAAAAAAAAAAAAGCCCCAGGATCTCCATTCTATTTGCGAAGGGAAGCTCCAGGCTGGGCTGAAATCGGGATTTTTTTTTTTTTGTGGTCCCTTTTAGGGAGGTGTCCCCCTAAAAGCGGCCGCTTTCCGTCCCCGGCGATGCGAACTCTCCCCCCTCCCCTCTGCCCAAACAAAGAGGAATTTGGTGTTTGTGTTGGCCGGCGGACCTTTACTCACAGGAAACTCTTGCCTGTGGAAAAGGAGGGTGAAATGTGGTGGATTAATGCAGCAAGATCTGGAAAACCGAAGGGGGAGAGGGGGGGGTTTCTGCCCGCAGCAAGACCGAGGGTGTGCGGGGGGCGAGCGCCCAAGGGTGCCGGGAAGGGGGGAAACCCCCGCGGGGATCCCCCTCCCAGCAGGACCGATCTGGGCATCGGGGGGGGTTCCCCTCCGCCGGTAAAAGCAGATCAGGTGATCTCCGCTCCCAAATTAAAGGCGATGTTGGAGTTATTTTAAATTTTTTTACACGCACACTCAGGAATGCGCTTCCTCCTCCTCCTCCTCCTCCTCTTCCTCCTCCTCTGGGAGTGTTGCTAAATCGGGATCGTTTGCGGTTGATCGTACACAGAGTCTGACAAATTATTATTATCAAATTACTCCGATTTTGCCATTTGAACCGCACACCAAAAAAAAAAAAAGGAGGAAAAAAAAAAGAAAAAAAAAAAAGGCAGAGGAAGAACTAAAAGCAACTTTTCATGTGGGAGACAGACGGGGCTTGAAAGGGAGCAGCGTGCGCTGCAGAGCTGCAGCTTCCCTTCCCCCAGAAAGGTTTCCGAGGTAACTGTTTCCCCAAAATTAGCCTCCTGAGCAGAGAGTTAAAATCCCCCGGTCCAGCCTCCGCGGCTCCACTCGCTCCGCTCAAGTAGCTTCAGGTTTATAAAGAAATCGAGGGGACGGGACAATGGAGCTGCGGGCTGGGTGAGGGCTCGGGGAGCTTTTTTTTTTTTCCCTCCCCCTTTTCCCCCTTTTGGAAAGAGGAATCTGCAACCCTGGGGGTTTTTTTGGGGTTTTTTGTTGGGTTTTTTTTTTTTTTTTGGGAAAACATCGCCTGGTTTGTAAGGCAGGAGAGAGTTACCAAACACCGAAGACACCTTGGGATTTAAAGTTTGAAATAAAGTTTAGCAGCGCAAAGGCGTGCGGGAGAATTTTCTTTTTTTTCCCCCCTATTTTTTTTCTTTTGCCCCTTATTTTTTTTCCATATTTTCTTCTCTATTTTTTTCCTCCTTTTTTTTTTTTTTTTTCCATTTTTCTTTTTTTTTTTTCCTTTTAAGAAAGAGTTTGGAAGAAAAAGATACGAAGTGAATAAAGACCGTGTGTGAGTAAAAAAAAAAAAAAGAATGTATAACTATCTTTACATTGCTTTTCTTTGCGGATGTTATTGTCGATACCGCGCTCCAGCCCGCGCTCCTTCCAGCTAATAAATACAGTAATTGGCAATTAATAAGCATTCCAGCCCGGGCTGAAGGATGAATTGTGGCGGAGTCAATCGTTTTGAACAACTCGCTTAGAGGAATATCTTTCACGCTTTATTAAATATATACGTACACACACCCATCCCAGAGGAATCCAGATTTGGGAAGGCGCAGCGACCTCTTAAAACAACCCTACGTGGAGCAAAAAAAAAAAAAAAGAAAAAAGAAATATATATATATATATGTGTATATATATATATATAGAGAGAGATAAACCGCGGAAACAAAGCGGAGGCACCCGCGCTGCCATCGCCTCGAAAAAACGGCGTAATTTTGAATATTTTGAATTATTTTTCTCTCTTTTCGCAGGGAAGGAGCAGCCCGGGGAGGGCTCCATTGTGTGCGCGCACGGGCGGGGGCTGCGCGGGGATTGCGCGGGGGCTGCGCGGTTGACTGCGCGGGGCGGCCCCCCCCC